TATTTGAACTCTAGTTTCTTCAAATATGCTGTACATGTGTACTGAGTGTGTATTAATGCTGGTCTTGTCTGAGATTTGCTTTTGTTTTTCAGATTTTTCTTCAATGCTACTCAATATGAGATGTATTTTTAGATCACGGCGACTTGTTTCAGGTCAAAAGCACAGGCTCATTTACGTTTTTTTGGTTTTTTTTGCAATAAGCCAAAGATGTAATCCTCTCTCCACTCACCTTCCACTGTAAAATAGACCTTAAACAAGATCACCTAAGTGCATATATATTTTGTATTTGTGCTTTGATCTTCTCCAACAGGATGATAGATTAAATTATAGTACTTCTAGTACTATAGTATAGGCCATCTCTCCATGGCCTCGCACCAAACTATATTAGTGACATGTTAGTCCCATATGAACCAGCCCGGACTCTGAGGAGCACAGGGACTGGACTCCTGTTAGTGCCCAGAGTCAGAACTAAACATGGGGAGGCTGGTTTTCAGATTCATGCTGCTAAAATCTGGAACAGTCTTCCTGAAGATGTGAGACAGGCCTCCTCTCTGACAATGTTTAAAACCAGGTTAAAGACGGTTCTGTTTAGCTGTGCATACAACTGAGGGATTTTATATTTTTATCTTTTTTTTAATGTGCTGTGATTATTTATGATTTTAATGCTTTCTTGTTTTGTTCAGCACTTTGAATTGCCTTGTGTATGAATTGTGCTATACAAATAAACTTGCCTTGCCTTACTTCTCGTCTAGCTAGTTGTTAAACATTGCAATCATGAGAAAGGTGTTGAGTGTAGTTTCTATCTGTGTCAGCTTTTCACCACAGAGAAGTGACAAAAGCTTTACTCCGATTCGGGGCGTTTCCACCGGCCCTGTTTAGCTGGTAGCACTTTTTTTTACCGGCAGTACTTTGTTAGTACCAATTTGGCCTGATACTAACCAGGCCGAGTTGGTACTAAAGTGTTCAGACTGCCAGTGATTGGCCACAATGGAGCTGAAAGCCATAGTTACCAAGGAATTTCCCTCAATACTGGTTTGTTGTGGGCAGGTTACAAGGATACGGTACCAGATCCTAACGTGTAATGGGAATGAAACTAGGTAGATAGAAGCGAGTAGAGTGGAGTAAGCCCAAGTAGGGTGAAAACAGGGCTATAAAGGGTCAAAACAAACGTACCACTTTTAAAGTTTTTCACCCATGTGGGGCAATATAAACATGCTCAACCATCTTTTTACCAGGAAACAAAGAGCAGCACGTGCAAAAGCCCAAATTCTTAAGAAAAAATGTGTTATGCAGTTGAGACTTGTGTGTAGTTTTATAACCTTCACCTAATCCACATGTAAGCAATCAGCTATAAAACAGTTTAGTTTTATTACCGTCTAAATTGCAGCTATATTGGGTCAGGGTTTTCACACTGAACCCGCCTTGGCAAAAAGACTAGGTCACAAGGTGGGTGAAAGGCTGAGTCGCTTTGGTACACCAGCTTGTGTTGCTCATGGTATAAAGAAAGGACCGGTTGAAATTTGGGTTCAAATTCCCTGTTTGTGTGCATAGATAGAGCCATAAAGAGACTTTTACTTCCACCAACGATTGTGGGAATGACGCTGCAGTTTTTCATGTGCTATCATATTCGTCGAAACCCAGGTGGGCACAGCTCAAACCCGGCAGAACTAAAACAGCCCTGAGCTTTATATAACCCACACCGATGCTGGGTTGAGCAAAGTGCTGCAGTTGTCTGGACTGATGTAAACAGTGAGCCTCCAGAGGATCCGCGTGCGCCTTGATGCAGCAGTTATGGGCACATGGCCTAGTTTCATAAATCAGACGGAGACAGCGAACAGCCAGAGAGGCGGAGGACCACTCTCTCTCTCTCACACTATACGGCACGCTGAACGGTAAACAAGATTAAAAAAGGCACTATTCAAAGAGGAATCTGGCTACACGTCATATCACTGAGTTAAAGCTGCACACCGACTTTCTTAGTCTGTGGCTGACATGGGATCAAACGCATGTTGTATGAAATGTGTTCCAAAGTCTATCAATGTTGTATGCAAAAATTAATGTTTTTGAGGATGAGCAAAGTTGTATTTCTTTTTTTTATTTAATCTTTCAGACACTTAAAGAGTCCATATAACACAGAAACAGACAACAAAAATGCAGACAAAAAACACAAAAACACAATATTTACACAATTCTGTAAACTATTTTTTATTTTTTGTATTTTATTTAATCTTTTCAGACACACAAAGAGTCCATACAACACAATTTATTATTGAGTGCATCGGTTAGAATAAAAAGATAGTCTTTCACATGTGCATATTTAGCTAAAATTACTGTATTACAGTATGTTTAAGTTAGGTTAGGTTAGGTTCTTTTTATTTATCTCACGAAAATGAATAGTTATACAAGTTTCAAATCATTCAAACAAATCATTTAAACATTTCCATGATCAGTGTTTTTTAGCAGTATATTTAATTACTATGAATCACCACATTATTGTCAACAACATGACTGCAAAAAGAAATCGGTATATTCATTTAGCCAATATTGCCCACCCTGCACTTTAAGCTGACGGGAGCGACGGCCCTTTACACGAATAGGGACAATTCTCATGCTGCTTTCCCTTCTGGCAAACGATGGAGTCTGTTTGTTCATGTAATTGTATTCATGCTTTAATCACTGCTGTGTGTTATTGCTAATGTGTTGTGACCAAGGAGCTGCTTAACTGTATTTTGTTATTGTTTAACCGACAATAACACAGTCATCTAATTTAAAATCAAAGCAATGCCAGTGTTTTTTTTTCAGAAATGTGATGGAAAACAGACAAAAGGTGGAGCCCTAAAACTTCATAAGAGATGGAGGACTGCTAAAATCAATAACATGTAAAACAGAAAATTTAGTGAAATGTCTGAAGGAAGCCTGGTCCCTATAGAGAGTGTCCTGCATTCATACTGTAATCTCAAGAAGAAAGCAATTGCGCTACTTTGGAGCCTGATAAGAGAGTAAATATTAATTCTGATTGTGTAATTTCTTGTTAACAAATCGGCCAAAAGTTGAAATAATGTCAGAAATATCTTGAAAAAAAATGCAATAGTCTAGGTTCCTCAAGTAAGAAAGAAATACTAAAGTGGCAACAAACTGCTGCGTCTAAGCTCATAATCCCGAAAGTGTAATGTGACAATGTTTACCCACAACCTTCACCATATAATTTGCGTCGCTCTCCGCATTTCCCTAAAGAGACATGGAAGTCTACAAATACATTGGATCCACTGCTGTAGACGCTGCAGAGCTGGCAAATGCATTATAGTCATGCAACGTGTCCTTGAAAGCAACACCCAACACTGAGAAGGTTGGGAGGGGAAACTGGATACGATACCGCTATATTTTGGTTCACATGAATATTGTTAGTCGGGTTGTGTCAGCGCGTGTGGGTGGCGCTGCTATGGCAACTCTGAGACAGGAGATAGGGGATGCCAGGGCGGCGCTGGTGCTGGTGGGGGTGGGCTCCGGCTGAACAAGGCTCATATTGATGTCCCAAACACAGCTGCAGGCGTCAGCTGACTCCACTCCCTCCTGCCTTTATCAGCTTACACACTGACCTTCTCTTTGGACTGGAATAGATCCTTTTTGCCCCTTCTAAAGCCCACAGACCACCCCGCCCGTTTATCTACCCCCACCCTGCGGAGTTCTGATCCCTGTCCAGATCTTGGCCATGAACCACACATCGAGTTCTCTCTCTCTCTCTGCACTCTCTTTTCGGAGCATCAGCACTTTTGTTGTCTCAGTTTTCAAAACTTGTACCAGGCCGCCCGACACTTACACAACGCGCCATGAAGTCACGCTGTTGTGGTCACGTCCGCAAATGTCCCACCACTCATAAAAAAGGTCTAGGGGTACGGCTTTATCAAAACATGTCAGCTTTTATGGATAAGTCTTCTTGTTCTTACTACACTCAACTTTTACTACTGTACAGCACACGTTGTAAACTCTGGAAGGTCGACATTCTTTGAGAAAAATATATAACTGTTCTAGTTGACCAGTATTCATTTCAATGTGAGTATGACTATTCAACAAGATGCGCCAAAAAAACCATTAGGTTTGGTCTTCCATATCAGAAAAGTATTTGCACTATTTTAAGTGTTTGTTCTATTGGGTAATCTTAATCCTTTGAAGACGGACCATCACATTCAACCAAAGCTCACATCAACCACACACTGACTGTCATATTTAGTTGTGTAAATGTTATTCCAGAATCAATTCTTTATGAGTCTTTTCATGTTGCAATATTGAAGTGCAAGCTTTTAGTTCTGAGGTCAGCTTGACACCGTCTACACTCCATGATAATTATACTCTAAGGACAGATTGACAGCCAGCCCTGTCATAGGCTAAATGTGTCACTCTTGCCTTGGTAGAAGATTATCCTTGTGCTTTGTAAACTCCTGGACTACTTTGCTACATTCATCATTTTCAATACATGGTTATTGAATCTATACAATCCATCTTTATAGCCTTGTAGATTGCTTGATATGGAAATCTTCTTTATATCGATGAGAACATTTGCAAAACCCCATTAGAACGATCAAATGTAAAAGACTAGATACATGAGCATATTAAATACTTCAGCACTTATTTTCTATGGCATATACACCTTTTACCTTTTTACTTCAACTTTATAGCTTCAATGTCAAACTAATTTCCCTTTTAAATCTTTCAGATCTTTCTCTGCGTGTTGCGTCAAAGTCCTTGCCGAGCATTCTTTTCTAAACATGCAGTGTCAAGTCGAAGCTACCACTTTAAAAATGGACACGTCAGCGCTCGGTGTGAGTATGGCGTTTGAGTCGAAGGTTTGAAGCCACAGCTGTCATGGACATTGCACCCCCCAAAGGCCCAATAATCAGCGGAGGTAACTGTCAATCAGGGCCGTGCAAAGAACCCCGGCGGGTCTATTCTCAGAACGACTGGCTTGTTTTTGCACACCGCCCCTTGATGACGCGGGCTTAGTGTTACAGGATAGTGTTTCTATGGAAGCCCCCCCACCCCCCCATCTCCACCATCCTGGGAAGTGTTGGGAGGAAATACTCGTCACTGCTTGCTGTGGAGATGTCGCCCGCGGCTGCACATGCACTCTTAAATCCTGCCTGGGCGCCATTCTGGGGAAAAGAAGAAAGGACTAAAGGGCTTTTATGATGCGTGCACACATGGGAGGGGGGGGGGGGGGGGGGAAGAAACGGGGAGAAGGAGGTGCAAGGCAAAACATGACAGGAATGGGAAAATTAGTCTGGGGTAGTAGTGGTCATAGCAGGCCAACGTGTAGCAGTACAGTATTTCAAACACATGATGTAAAATTTAGCCTTGGTTCATGTTTGCTGTTTATTAGCAATCTTTGGCTCCATACCCACCCAGTGAATACTCTGTGTTGAATCTGACCGCGTTTTGAGAGCTGTGTATACCGCTTATCTTTTTATGGCTCTTTCTGACATCAAATGTGTTTGCCCTTGTGTTTGCACATTGGCACACTTTCAGTTTCATGTTGGTTTCCTTCAGTGGAGGCAGCTGCTTGTATCTGAATAAATCAATTTGTTCCGATAGTCACTTCACAAGTCAAACAAATTGCGACCCTCCAAAAGGTTAGATACACTGTCCAAATTATCTTGATGGCTGATGCATTTCATGACATTACACAGACTATTGGAACACACTTGTGAGTATTTGTATTTATCTACTTGTTGCTGAACCTCTTCCCTGGATTAATTTAAACTAACCAACATTAATCCCACCAGAAGTGAATGGGTAATATTTTATGTTTTTTTAGTATCAAGACATCTTCCACACATTCTGTTACAGGAACACACAATTCCACCATATTACTATACTCGTCTTCATGAAGACTAAACTTTCATAACTTGATTTTGCCCATAGAAAGACATAAAGATAACTACTAATATGACCACAGTTACTACTATTACAACTACATTTTAAACAAGGAATACTTTTTATGTTGAAGCACTGGGGCCCCATGTAAAATGCTTACCCTTTGGTTACTAACTGGACACAGTTTGGTATCCAGGCAGACCTCAGCGAAACTCAAAACATTGGAGGAATGAAGGAGGCGTTTGGTCCACACAAAGAGGAGCGCTGGACTAAAATAAGAATAGATGTGTTTAAAATACGAGCTTGAAATGTCAGCCCTCTCCCCGACCGCTCTCACAATGAAAAACAGCTGTTGCTAGGCTTTGAAGTGCGGCGGTATGCGTACATGTGGCCAGCGCAACAATAATACAGGACCTCAGTATGACCGACCGTAAAGCAAAAGGAATATTACATTGGACGGTGTGAAAAGAGGGTGGGCTGAGGTCACACAGGCTGGCAGTAGCTTGACACTTGAGGAGGTGGAGAGTATATCAGATGTTACAGATTTAGAAACGCTCCAAGCAAAGCCCAGCACGGGCACTCAGGAAGGAAGGAAGGAGTTGGCCAAGAGAAAGTGCTTGACTGCATGTTGGGCAGTGGTTAAGGGCCAAAAGCAGTACGGGTGCATTCACATTTGCACGATTACGGCATGAAAATTGCTACTAAAATGGACTAATCCCAAAATGAAATCAATCCTGACTCAAACAGCGTCTGCATTGCGGCTCAAACTGGGGTAATACGGCCAAACTGGGAATACCAATCGATCGTAAAGACTTGTTGAGTGACTGATTTAGATTCTGTGACAAAATGTTTTTCCCTATTTGAGATGTTATTGGTTTTCGTGGAAAGACAAACAAGTGATGCAACCAGATAAAGTGGTAGCTTTTGAAAGCTGCAGAGGTGGCATTGACAATTCCATGTAGGAAAATTGGCAGTGTCCTTATCAGGTAGAAAGTTCGGAACAGTTTGAACCAGTTTTCAACAGTAGTCATCTGGTCTAAGTTTTCAGTGTGGAAATGTTTCGACTTCCATTCAGAAGGCAGGAGATGGTCCAAGAACTGGAATTTGAAAACCATCTCCTGTTTAGATTGGATAATGACTTCTGGATGGGAGACAAAACATTTCTTGCGTGGTGTACTTGGTCCAGATGACTACTGTTGAAACACATTCAGGGATTACACAGCTTTGTCATTAAACAATGGCTTGAACTAACTATGTTTTATTATAGAAATTACGTCAGTTACATTGATTTGCTTGCTTCAGTCATTCGTGAGCTGTGTAGATTTTGGGGAACACGGTGGCTGAGTTGGCTGAGGGTTCGATTCCACCTCCAGACAGGACATTTCTGGAGTATGCATGTTCACCTTGTGTTTGCAGAAGTTTCCGCAGGTGCTCCGGTTTCCCCTACTGGTAAAACATGTACAATAGCTCCCCTCTCTCTAGGGCCCCTGAAAAAGAGTAGGAGATGAACTTTCGTGGTTAAATAAATGTTAACAAATAATACAATATTAAATACATTTGAATCACCACCAATCACTCATTGATACAGTACAACAAATTGACATGGATGAAGTGTCTTGCCTGAAGACTCATTTCAATTGCCATCCATCCCAGTGAGATTACACAACCCAACAGTATGACTTCAAGTGTGTCATGTAGTAGTAGTATCCATTCATCTCTTCATCATCATCATACTTAGTGGTACATTACCGTCATAATCTAATATTGTTAACTCCTATTAGGCTGCTACCATGTCAATGCTGGCTCTGAAAACGACTTACATATTCCCTTGTGACGCAAAGCCCATTATTGGAAAAGTTTAGCCAATTTGTAATCTACTTCAGTATCTCTAACATTGACCGTCACGCCTTCTTCCTCCCTGTCATCTCATCCTGCCATCCTCCAAGATAATGCACCAATAAACCTGGGGCTGAATATCTAAAGCACTCCTCAATTACTCTTTGAAGACTCATTTCCATATCAGAAAGCACGGACGTGACTTTGCAAATAAAGACTATATTATATCCCCCTCTGCATTATTCCTGTGGTGAAGCCAGTGCACCTCGATGAGAATTCTCCGGTTGGATCGACTTTTCTCACACCACTTTTTGGAGCACGAAATGTAGCCTGCAGCTTGAAATATGCACAGACATTACAGTATGGATAATTATGCCAATCAGTGGGTCTATAAGTGCAGGTTAATCACTCTGCTTGTCCTCGGAGGTAATCAACATAATCGCATGTCTGACTGTGTTGTGCACTGGTTGCTAAGATATCTTTACTCTATATTTAAAATCAGGCATTCATATCAAAGAGAGATCATAGCAACGAGTAAATGAGGCAAAATGTTGTAGTGGCACAAAGCAAGGAATATCCCACAAATAGCATTTTGACAATATACCCTGCATTGTTGCTAATAACCCAGCTGGAACCTTATTATTCAACTAATTTAGCATGTGTTTTCTGTGTTGTTTGATTCAGTCTCCAAAGCAAACCAATATACAGCCTGAATATACCACTGGCAGCTAATTGTAATCCGGGATTACTTAAAGCATGATTGACAATACACAATACCTCTATCTAGCAACTACTCGCCAAGCAATTTTCTATAAATGCATTCAACACAGACACTGTTTAGGCAATGACTGGTGCCTGTTTTCCTGTGGCCTCTTGCACACAGCTCATTACAGAGTCTGACAACACGCCTCAGCATCAATATCCCGTAAATGTCACTTTCCACTCTGCAGCATTTTGTCACAGTAGTTAAGATTGCCACCCTCAGAGCCTAGTCAGCGCCTGCTCTACTCCGAGAGGCAGGCCCTTGTCAATTATTTATAAGACTGTGCACACATGTGGTCCCACTTTGCATGCACGAAGGAGTCCACCGCCCCTCACCCTCTTGTTATTCTCGTCCTGGTTTGTTCAAGATCTTGTATGCATAGCCATTTTTGGGTTGGTATGCTGCGGAGGAATTGCTGTGTTTGGTCAAGCGAAGTGCTGAAGTTTAGAAATGCAGGGATGATTAAAGAGAGGAACTGGGTTATGGTAAGACATAGCAACACTCCCACAAACAATGCTCGTCATTCAACGTGAAAACATCACGCGGTGCTGGTCCCACCCCTATGATTAACACAGACATCTCAGAGGCTCATGACTCAGCACTTTGCCAGAGGAATTTGGACAAACTCACATCCAAATCAGCTTTTGCTGCAACTCAGACTTGAGATTGAGAAATGTAATACTTTCCCCACACATAAAATCAGCGCTTCAGGTTTTCCCCCTTTCTCATTTTGGAGCGTGCACGAGTACATTCCTATGCTTCCTGTGTGTTCGCCCGCCTAGCTGCATTGCAGGGCAGTTATGTGTCACTGCAGTTGTGCACAATGGTGTGAATAAATGTGTGTGTGTGTGTGTTGTGAGTGTGTTGTGTGCGTCAGCTTTCAACTTTGTGTTCATTCCACAGTAAATTGATCTGGCTGCTCACTAGACTGGATGGAAAAGGGCTCGGGGGCGCGAAGTGCATCAGCAGATGGGAGAGCCCACTGTGTTGCCATCACACGGCATTCCTCCTCTACTGGGCATGCTCAGTAGGACACGCCCCGAAGACCCCCCTCCCTCCACCCGGGGCCTGTTTGAACCAGTCACTCTCCGGTTTCTCATCTGACCTTCAAAGCCAGGCAGCGACAGTGTGTAGTCAGGACGAGGGGAGGCTTGTTTTTTTGTCTCTAAAAGCTCTTTGGGTAACAGGGCTGATATGTCACTCATTATTTCCACACAGTGAGTTTTACCCTGTCAGAGAAGCATGCAACAGCCCTACTGCTTACATGCTGGGCTACTGCCGCGAGACATCACAGTGTTTGGATTTCAGAGCTTATTTACCTCAATCTGTCACTGTGTCTGAGCGCTATTAACTCCTGACTATATGAATAATAAACAAAGTGCGATAAAAGGAACTGATATGGGCAAAAGCTGTCAGAATCACTAAGCCAACACACGTAGCCTTTAGCTTTGGATAAAAGAACAAAAACATGACCTCCACAATTCACCGGCCATCATCCATCCAAGCAAGGGTATTTTTATTCAGGGACACACCATCTTTCTACAATCCCTGGTGGTGAGTAATATAGAAAAAGGCTTTTATATTGAGCCATGGCATTTTAGTTCCGGCAAACAAAGTCACCAACATGGAACACCAGGATTACTACAACAGTCCAATCCAAGGTTTTTGTGTCAAATAGTGGGGGAACTGTGACTTTTACAACACACATTTTTTTCACTTCCAAAACATTGGCTTTGTATGAGTGAACTAGTTTGATAAAGTATTTTGCATGGTTTAGTTTTATGCAAATGTACCACAGCAATGAGGTAAATTGGTTCAATCAGCAAACTAATCTTTGCCGATTGAACCAGTTGCTTTGGTCTTGGTTCAAGCGATGTGGCCCTTTTTCCTTAATTGTTATTGTTTGAATCCAATAAATGAGCCACTTCCAGACGCAACTAAATATTCAAAATAATACCATAACAACTTTGAAAAGCCATTACCTCAAAGATCTGAGAAGCTCCTAAAATCAGGCCTGGGGTGGTGTCGTTATGGTTTGTCATGTTCTACTGATGCATGTTATTTTTCTGTTTGGCAGCCTGTAAGGAAAGACATATTACCTTCGGGTATGACAAAGTAAAGTGAACTTATTAAGCATTAAACACTAACTTCTTTTGGGTTTTTTTCTGTTGGTATGTACAGTTGTAAATTAAACACAGGTTCCAAATAACGCCATTCTGTCACTGTGTACAGCTGTGTGCCAAGAATGAGTTAACAGTGAGTTATAAGGAAGTGAAACCATTCTTGCTGCGGCATGCTTCAATTACGTAACCTGCATTGTGCAAGTGAAAAGAACAGGAAGATGTGCAATGATTTCTATTCAACAAAAGTAGCAGCCGCCTCAGAGCTTCATTGCTCCGGGATCTGATTACATTGTCGAGCCATTTACCGTCAAACGGGTGTACTTTACATAATCATCCACAAGGACTGCCTCAAAGTACTTTCAGCAATAATAATAAATATAGTTGCTATTCCAGGGAACAGCTGGCCATTAATGACTCACTTAATGTTGTGTGGGCCACCGTTGTAAATATACAGTGTACTCAATGTATCAGTGTTATCTGTGTGGGCTGACAATGCACTGGGGTTGGAAGTATTTGAAAGTTGCACATAAGAATTATACATTCAAGATGGCAGAAGTAGCAGTTTTAGTTATAGCAACATGTAGTAATGATAGTTTTATATATATGTTGCTATTTGTTTTTGTCCCGATATTTACTGTGTTTTTTAATGTGTTTTTTTGTCCATGTTTAAATTGAGACTCATTTTGAATAAAGAATAACTAAAAGTATACAGTTATTGTACGGTATAGAGGCAGTTACTACATTTTAGGCCAACAAAACATGCTCTCATTTGATAAAACTCCAATATCCAGCCACGACTCCGTGAAGCTGATCAAGTTCGCGGACGACACCACCCTCATTGGACTCATCTCCAACAACGATGAGTCCGCCTACAGGAGGGAGGTGGACCGGCTGGTGTCCTGGTGCAGTGGTAACAACCTGGAGCTGAACGCCCAGAAGACAGTGGAGATGATTGTGGACTTCAGGAAGAGCACTGTCCCCCCGCCCCCACCCTCCGTGATGGACTCCCCCATCACCTCTGTGGAGTCCTTCCGTTTCCTGGGCACCACCATCACCCAGGACCTCAAGTGGGAGCCGACCATCAGCTCCCTCATCAAGAAGGCCCAGCAGAGGATGTACTTCCTGCGGCAGCTCAGGAAAGCCAAGCTGCCTGCACAGATGTTGGTGCAGTTCTACACGGCCATCATCGAGTCCATCCTCACCTCCTCCGTCACCGTGTGGTTCGCTGGAGCCACAGTCAGGGACAAACAGAGACTACAGCGCATTGTGCGCTCTGCAGAGGAAGTGATCGGCCGCAGCCTTCCATCGCTGCAGGACCTGTACGTCGCCCGAGCTCGAGGCCGGGCTGGTCGTATCACAGCCGACCCCTCTCACCCTGCACATGGACTATTCCAACCACTCCCCTCAGGCAGGAGGCTGCGGTCCATCAGGACTAGAACCTCCCGCCACAAGAACAGTTTCTTCCCCTCTGCTGTTGGACTCTTGAACACTTCTTAACCTGTCCCCCCGCCCTTTATAAAGTCACTTTACTGCCCATCATACGTCACTTTACTTCACTGTACTGCTGTCACCTTACATTGTGTGCACCATGTGCACTTGTATATTGTAAATAGTAACTGTAACTCTATTTTAAATTTAAATTTATTCTTTAGAAGTGTTTTTTATTCTTATTTTTATTATCTCTTTTTGACTGTTGCACTGAGCCAAAGCAATTTCCAAGTCTGTGACCTCCCGTTACTTACGTTGGCAATAAAAATGATTCTGATTCTGATTCTGATTCTGATATCCAGTGATATCATGCGAACGGAAACCTCTGTCTACGCAAAGTGCAGTTTTCTGCCTTAAAGTTTGCCCATAAATTCGTTTTTGTAATTTGAAGTGAAATTACATTCTTTGGAATCACATGTCTCGTTTTTTCTTTTATTTGGAAAAAAACTGAAAAACTTCCACACCTCCCTCTGGTGGTAGCACTGGGAGTTACAGACTGTTAGCCTTTTTTACCATCCACACTTGTTTCACCACATATTTTCTATTGTCTTCTACGTCTTATGGCACCCTTGGCCCCTCTTGTGCCCGTGCACTCACAAGAGGACTGTAATAACTTTCTAAACTTTTTTGTGAACAAAGTAGAGGACATCAGAGCGAGTATAAACCCGTCACTTATTGATGTCTGTGCGTCTGAGGTCACTCAGGTGTGCTCCTGGTCAGCCTTTACTCCAGTCAGCCTACAGGAGATGGAGGCTGTCGTGAGCAAAATGAAACTATCATCGAGTCCTGCTGATATTATTCCTACATCCTTGCTTTTAAAAAAGCTTGAAGTCTTTGGCCCCTGTCTGGTGCAACTGTTTAATCTATCCTTAGAGTCTGGCACTGTCCCCAGCTATTTTAAACATGCTGTTGTAAGCCCCACTCTGAAAAAGCCCAATCTTGACCCCTCAGAGCCAAAAAACTACAGACCTATATCGAAACTCCCGTTTGTTGCTAAAATCTTGGAGAAAGTTGTTGCAAACCAGCTAACCACATTCATGGAGCAACACAATCTGTTTGACTCTTTTCAGTCTGGTTTTCGAAAGTTGCACTCCACAGAAACTGCACTTGTTAAAGTTTCTAACGACGTGTTGATGGCGGCAGATTCTGGTCGCTATACAATATTGGTTTTGCTAGATCTGACCTCTGCTTTTGACACTGTGGATCACAGTATTATGATAAATCGCCTTGAAAAGACGATGGGTTTCTCTGGTTGTGTCCTTAAATGGTTCACATCATATATTTGTGGAAGAACTTTCAATGTTGCAGTGAATGATATTGTGTCTGATGTGTCTCAACTTTCTTATGGTGTTGCCCAAGGGTCTGTTCTGGGCCCTTTATTGTTTTTATTATACCTCTTACCTCTTGGGAAAATTATCGATCGTTTTAAGAATGTATCTTATCATCTCTATGCTGATGATGTCCAACTGTATTGCTCTTTTAAAGACACTGAATTTCACCTTATCTCCCAGTTCTTAGAGTGTGTGTCCGAGATCAAAGGCTGGTTAACCACAAATTATCTGCAGCTTAATTCTAACAAGACCGAAACCCTGATTTTTGCTCCTGACAATAAGATTCAAGACATCAAACAGCACCTTGGTTCACTTGGTTCCTCTGTCACATCCCCCCTCAGAAACCTGGGGGTTGTTTTTGATCAGGCCCTAAATCTGGACACACACTGCAAACAGCTCGTCAGAAACTGCTTTTATCATCTCAGAAACATATCTAAAATCCGGAAAATATTGTCGCAGAAGGACTTGGAGATGCTCCTTCATGCCTTTGTTTCCACACGTCTTGACTATTGCAATTCATTGTTTACTTGTCTTAATAAGAGTGCTCTTAACAGACTACAAATTGTGCAAAACTCCGCTGCCAGACTTTTAACAGGAAGCCCCCGGTGGTCTCACATCACCCCAGTCCTGTCCTCACTTCATTGGCTCCCAATCAATTTACGTATTGATTTTAAAATTTTGGTTTTAACTTTCAGAGCCTTAAATGGTCAGGCTCCCGTTTATATCTCGGACCTCTTGACCCCACACTATTCTGGCCGCACTCTCAGGTCCACGGGCCAGAATTTACTTGCGGTCCCAAAGACCCGCTATAAGACCCGGGGGGACCGGTCCTTCCAGTCCGTTGCCCCCAGACTGTGGAACGCTCTGCCTCTGTCCCTCCGTGTGGTCAACTCTGTCGATGCTTTTAAAAAGGGACTAAAGACACTTCTTTTTAGGGCAGCTTTTAGTTAGTTTCTTTTTTTTTTTTGTTTTTGTTGTTGTCTTATTTCCATTGTATTTACTTATTTGCTTTTACCCTGTACAGCACTTTGTGATTTTTATCTGTGAAAGGTGCTCTATAAATAAAATTTACTTACTTACTTACTTACTATTGAAGATATTATTTTCAAAACCTGAAATGTCAGATGATAGTAAACAGTCAATATAATTTAGACCGGACATGTGTGTGTAATATTTTTCCTTTAAAGGTCAATTTCAGAAGTTCACCAAATGAAGATGGTTCCTCTGAGCTGTCATCACTCCAGCAGCTACTTCAAATAACTCAAACACAACTCAAACACAAACTCTGCTTGACTTTCTTTCTACACATTTTGCGTTTAATCTTCAGTCCCTGAGTCTTTGTTTATCGGCCTCAGCTTCCTGTTTACGTCGCGTTGAGCCAATCACTTGTGAAGTCTGTGATCCTCCTTGTGGCTATTTACTGCCCTGTGGTCTGAGTAAAAAAAAAAGACTGAAAAGAAGCTAAGCCGCGCTCTGGGCTGCTGAGTAAGCAAACTCTCAAAGCCCCAATCACTTCACTGACATACATATACATCTCCTCCACCCTTCACATTTGCTATTATAAGTCTGTAGCCGTGTTTATGTACTTGTCCTTTGTGAGGCATTGACAAAGTGCTGGGATAATATTTGCCATTTTGTAAGCCAAACTGAAAGAACCGACAAAGTATGGAAAAACAGGATTAGGATTGGCGCAAATTAAGATAGAGGTGTGCAAAACATTGACTATACCATACTATACTTTTTCATCTTATGCCATAGTTTGCCCTATATTTTACACAATTCAACACAAGCAGATGTTAGATGAAAGCAAAAGGATGAAATGGTTTGACTTCAGAAGGAAAGCTAAAGTTATGCTAACAGCTGTTGAGTTTAGTGTGACTAAATTTGCTAAATTAATGTCTGCAATAACTTTTGTAGTAGCAGTAGTTCTGTTATAAAAGAAAACTGTTCTTGTTTACACTTAGCTTGAGTGTTTTACTTAATCACTGACCAGCCCAATGGAGCCCAAAGTGGCAGTTTGTTTGGGTACTTTTTGAGAATTTACTTTGAAAATCCCCATTGAAGTTATACAAAAATCTTAATAATAAGAGTTTGTAGGCACGGCAGAGGATAACTAGCTATGTGGTGCTAATATCCACATCACAATTGATTTTAGCCCAAAATGCACAATTAGCCTTTAAGTTAAGAATTGGTGAAATGTGCTAGTTTCTTTGCCGTTTTGTAAGTTGCAACAACACACTTTAAATAAAAATGTAGATCTTGTTTGTCATTAGTGCAAACAGAGCTGATTTCCAGGTGGATGTCAACTTTGCTGTAAGGATCTGTTCCACTTGCAAGGTTTTGGTGCTAGCTTTAACACCATTTATAATGTAGATGTATTCTTAATCCAGTGTCCTCTGCTCAAAATGTAGTTCCGCATTCAGTCTTAATTTGGATGTGGTGATTGTGAAAGGACCGTGAGACAGAACTCAAGCAGGCAAGTGTTGCTTTTTCTGGTACACATCTCCAAGACTTCATTTGGAAGAAAACGGTCATCAAACTCATCCAAGAAGTTATATATCTAAACCAAAACATGACCAAAGCATGTCTAAGTAAGGATTTTTCTCCATTTGAATTATGATGAGGATTATAGCAGTAAAGTCCACACAACACAACACTAACCCAGTTAAAGACAAATGAAGCATTATTTTAAAAGCAGCATAGTTTGCTTGTTCACTCATTTATTTGCTTATCTTCCTTTCTCACAGCACAGCGGGCTCTGTGCGCTGACATTTTTTGTTGCGTTGCTGAGGGCTGGAATGTGCTGGTTTTGTGACTTTTGCAGATAACAAAGCAGCATGAGGTGACTGCGTGTAAACTCGGGATGAGGTCAGGGTCCGCCGACGCAGCAGGCTTCGACATGAGAGGGATTTGGCTTTCGCAATACGCTCCCCCCCCCCTCCCTCCCTCCCTCCCTCCCTCCTCCCCCCCCCCCACCTGGGTCATGCCTCTTACTCAGCTGCCATGTTTGCACAAATACAAGTGAAAGCCTATGGAGTGCTGTGCTGTTTTCATATGAGAGATGGAGGTATTCAAATGTTTGATTTTGAGGCGCCCTGTTTGTGTTGGATGCAGGTTTGACTATTAAATGATATGCCCTTTCTGTTTCAACAAGTGTAATGTGTTTATGTTGATTTTTACATTCTTCTGTTTGGGAAAGCCTGAGGTTCGCCAAACGCATGAGTCACAAGTCTTGTACATTTTATTCCCATTATTAACATTTCATAATTCTTCTAGATCAATTTTTCAACATGAGAAGTGTTGAATAGTCAGTTTTATGAGTTCAACAAGTTTGTTTAACCACCTTACCACCACATATTGTAGAACGTTCTTTGCATGAATAGTATGATGCATATATGAAAAACCCAAGTCAAGTAAAATGACTTGCATTCCAGTTAATAATGGATATTGAGGTTTTTCATGACTAGAATGGGGTTAACAATGTGTCCTATGATAGTTCTCAGCTTTGAAGACATTTCATTGAATAGAGTCATTTTCTTCTTGCTTGAAACCAGAATATCTTGTAAAACACCTCAAAACCAATTTAACCTCGGTGAGCTTTACTTTGAAATCAAGGACAAGAGTATGAATACACGTTTTAAATAAACTAGAACAATGTGTAGTGCTAGTGTCCATGTTGAATCATACAAATATTTACCTGCAGTTTTTTTATGGTGTTGATTGTGTGGGATATACCATAATTGTTAAGATACTATCATTTTAAAGAGAAAAAACGATACAAGATTTAATTTACTGTACAGCAATTTTGTTACGTCTCTCTGAAAAGCAGTTGGGGGAGTCCAGAGGTTATACGGCGAGCTTATAGTTGTGCAATCACTGTTTCTGTGCAGTGAAACCCTTCAGCCAACACACATGACTGCCTTTCATGACCACGTTGAAAACAACACAGTTCCCCAGGCTTAAAAGTTCACATCGTGCCATAAATCCGTTGGAGACAGGGTGAAAATACAATCAGGGGCATGTGAGTTCAGCACAGACCTTACATGAGTGGAGCTAATGCTCGATTCAGCACACAAATACACCTCGAGTGAAAGCCGCTCCTCAGACAGGCTGGAATTAGACCCAGGAAGTCATGAGATCTCCAGGTGGCGCGACTTTCCTAGAAGAGTTAAGCAGGGATTTTACAATGCGCTGCCAGCATGACATTAACCGAAGAGGACACCCTTCTCCGCTTAAAAATACACACCTTTTTGAGTTTCCTTTTTGGCTACGTTTAAACACATGCCTCGGAAACCAGAAGCCTGTTATTCCCATTGACGCCACACCACAAGACTGCGCGTCAGCCATATAAAATTGAACTAGACAAGTGGGACAGCGGCTCGGTTCATGTAGACAGAAGTGGTTGGAGAGATTCAGAAAGCAGTGGAGGGAAATGGAAAACATGAGCGGCCACGATGTTGGC